TCCCTGATGGATTAAAGTACCCTGGTCCTGCTCCTACATTTAAGAACATAAGAACATAAGAGACGCCAATGTTGGATCAGGCCAAAGGCCCATCCAGTCCAACACTCTGTGTCACACAGTGGCCAGAAATACCAGTGCCATCAGGAGGTCCAGCAGTGGGGCCAGGACATTAGAAGCCCTCCCACTGTTGACCCCCCCCCCAAGCACCAAGAAGACAGAGCATCACTTGCCCCAGAGCCCCTAGCTATACCTTGTGGCTAATAGCCACTGATGGACCTCTGCTCCATATGCTTATCTAATTCCCTTTTGAAGCCGTCCATGCTTGTAGCACCCACCACTTCCTGTGGCAGTGAATTCCATGTGTTAATCACTCTTTGGGTGAAGAAGTACTTCCTTTTATCCGTTCTAACCCGACCGCTCTGCAGTTTCATGGAGTGCCCACGAGTTCTTGTATTGTGAGAAAGGGAGAAAAGTACCTCTTTCTTTACCTGCTCTTTCCCATGCATAATCTTATAAACCTCGATCATGTCACCCCTCAGTCGTCTTTTCTCCAAGCTAAAGAGCCCTAAGCGCTTTAACCTTTCCTCATAGGGAAAGTGTTCCAACCCTTTTATCATTCGAGTTGCCCTTTTCTGCACTTTTTCCAAAGCTATAATATCCTTTTTAAGGTGTGGTGCCCAGAACTGCACACAGTATTCCAAATGAGGTCTCACCATTGATTTATATAGGGGCATTATTATATTGGCTGATCTGTTTTCAATACCCTTCCTAATAATCCCCAGCATAGCATTGGCCTTCTTTATTGCAGTCACACACTGTCTCGACATTTTCAGTGAGTTATCCACTACAACTCCAAGATCTCTCTCTTGCTCAGTCTCTGCCAGTTCAGACCCCATCAATGTGTATTTATATTTAGGATTTTTGGCTCCAATGTGCATCACCTTGCACTTGGCCACATTGAACCCCATTTGCCATGTTGACGCCCACTCGCCCATCCTTGACAGATCCCCTTGGAGTGCCTCACAATCCTCACTGGTTTTCACCACCCTGAACAACTTTGTATCATCCGCAAATTTAGCCACTTCACTGCTTACTCCCATCTCCAAATCATTAATGAACAAGTTAAAAAGCAGTGGACCAAGTACTGATCCCTGCGGTACCCCACTGCTTACCACCCTCCACTGAGAAAATTGCCCACCTACACTCACTCTCTGTTTTCTATGAACTAGCCAGTTTTTGATCCATAAAAGGACTTGTCCTTCTATCCCATGATTTTTGAGCTTACTTAGGAGCCTTTGATGAGGAACTTTATCAAAAGCTTTCTGGAAGTCAAGGTAAATAATATCTATTGGATCCCCCTTGTCCACATGTTTGTTCACCCCCTCAAAGAACACTAACAGGTTAGTGAGACAAGATCTTCCCTTACAGAAACCGTGCTGAGTCTGCCTCAATAGGTTTTGTTCATCTATGTGCCTACTAATTCTTTCCTTAATAATGGTTTCCACCAATTTACCCGGTATCGACGTCAGACTGACTGGCCTGTAATTTCCCGGATCTCCTCTGGAACCCTTTTTAAAGATGGGAGTGACATTAGCTACCTTCCAATCCTCAGGAATGGAGGCAGATTTTAAGGAAAGATTACATATCTTTGTCAGGAGATCTACAAGTTCACATTTGAGTTCTTTCAGAACTCTCGGATGTATGCCATCTGGGCCTGGTGATTTTTCAGTTTTTAAGTTGTCTATCAGTTTTAGGACCTCCTCTCTCGTCACCTCAATCTGACTCAGGTCTTTCAACACCCCTCCTGAAATCAGTGGTTCTGGAGTGGGCAAGCACTTCTCATCTTCCACAGTGAAGACGGAGGCAAAAAATGCATTTAGCTTCTCAGCCATTTCCCTATCATCCTTCAATACTCCTTTTACCCCTTGGTCGTCCAAGGGCCCCACTGCCTCCCTGGCTGGTTTCCTGTTTCTAATGTATTTGAAGAAAGTTTTATTGTTGGTTTTTACGTTTTTTGCTATATGCTCCTCATATTCCCTTTTTGCCTGCCTGACCTCAGACTTGCATTTTATTTGCCATAGCCTGTGTTCCGTTTTATCAGCCTCACTGTGACTAGCTTTCCACTGCTTAAAGGAATTCTTTTTACTTTTTACAGCCTCCATTACTCTGTTTGTTAACCATGCAGGCTTTTTCCTATACCTGTTTGTGCCTTTCCTAACCTGCGGAATATATATTTTTTGAGCTTCTAGGATCGTAGTTTTAAATAGATCCCAAGCTTCCCCAATTGTTTTGACCCTTTCTACTTTTCCTTTCAGTTTCCTCCCCACGTGTCCCCTCATATCAGAGAAATTACCCCTTTTAAAGTTAAAAATGGTTGTGTGAGTCTTTTTGGCCAATTCTCTATTTGTACAAATGATGAACTCAACAACATTATGATCACTGTTTCCAAGCGGTGCAATCACTTTTACATCTCTCACCAGGTCTTGAGTGTTACTTAGGACCAAATCAAGGATCGCCTCTCCCCTGGTAGGTTCCGTGACCATCTGCTCCATAGCACAGTCATTTAGAGTGTCTAGAAACTCAATCTCTTTTTCCCGGCTAGAACACATATTGACCCAATCAATGTGTGGGTAGTTAAAATCACCTATTATTACACAGTGTTTTTGTCTAGTTGCTATCTTTAAGGCATTCATCATTTTATAATCCTCCTCTATCTTTTGATCTGGTGGGCGATAACAAACTCCCAGTGTTAAGTTTCCTTTTGGCCCCCCTATTTCAACCCATAGAACTTCCAGAAGCGAATCCAATTCACTTAGCCTCTCAATCTTTCTAGACTTTATACCCTCTCTGACATACAGAGCTACCCCACCTCCAACCCTTCCCCCCCTATCCTTCCGATATAATATATAACCGGGAATCACTGTGTCCCACTGATTTTCCTCATCCCACCAAGTTTCAGAAATACCCACAATGTCTATTTTTCCCTCCGACACCAAGCACTCCAACTCCCCGATTTTACCTCGGACACTTCTAGCATTTGTATAGAAACAGCTGTAATTTCCCTTACAAGTTAAGCCTGCATCCTTCCTCTTGCTATCTCGAGTCGTTGTCCGGCAGTCCATGTCACCAGCCATGGCCTCTGTGGACAATTTCAATCCACCTCCCTGTAGAAAAGCAACCGGTACCCCCTCACCTCTCTCAGATGAGCCAACCCGAACCAGAGACTTTTCATCTCCTGTCGGCTTTCCCCCAATATTCAGTTTAAAAGCTGCTCTGCCACCTTTTTGATTTTAAGTGCCAGCAGCCTGGTTCCTTCTCGGGACAAGTGGAGACCGTCTCGCCTGTACAGCTCCCTCTTGTTCCAAAAAGTATCCCAGTGCCTAACAAACCTGAAACCTTCCCCCCTACACCATCGTCTCATCCACGCATTGAGACTCCTGATCTCTGCCTGTCTCTCCGGCCCTGCGCGTGGAACAGGTAACACTTCTGAGAAGGCTACCTTGGAGGTCCTGGACCTAAGTTTCCTGCCCAGCAGCCTAAATTTCTCCTCCAGGACCTCACGACTGCATTTCCCCACATCGTTGGTGCCGACATGCACCACGACCACTGGCTCCTCCCCAGCACTATCTACCAGCCTATCTAAAACACGCGTAATGTCCGCTACCTTCGCACCAGGCAGGCAAGTCACCATACGGTCAGTACGCGGGTTCGCCACCCAGCTGTCTACCTGCCTAAGGATCGAATCACCCACTACATTCTTATCCACTACACTACACCATCATTTTCCTAACCATGGTTACATCAGGATCATCATCTGCTACCTCAAAGTTGGTCTAGATATTACTTTTTGCTGCACCCCAGCTGCTTAACCGTGAAGTGCCACCACCTACAAAGAAAACCATGTGGCATAGCTTCATTACCTAGTGAGTTTCCCAATCCTTCTAGCAACTACAGTCAAAAAGGAGCAGGAATTCATCATGCAGTAAACCACTTCACATGGTGTTTGTATAATTTACACTAGAGAACAGGAATCTCATTCTGCTGAAATGGATGACAGTTAGGAAAGACTATTACCATTAAGACCAGTGCTCAAGCTAAGGGCCCCGGTCACACAGGAGGATTTGCCCCACAAAACGAATGGGTTGAGGGTGGATTAAACCAGCACGGACAGATGCCAACATCTGGCAAGCATCACGCACCCACCCCAACCTGTCCCTTCTGGCCAAAGATGCGGATCTAAAAGAGACTAGTGAAAGGGCATTACCTACTGGATGACGTGCAGCAACGGTGGCCATGGGATCACCGACACGCGGTTATCCCGTGGTATTTATTTATTTATTTATTATTAAATTTATACCCCGCCCTTCCCCGTGGGGCTCAGGGCGGCTTACATGGTATGCATGGTAATGGCAAACTGCGCATGTGCACAGCTGCTGCGGCTGGCCCTCCTCGCCCTTCATAGTCGCTTCCCCTGCAGCATGTGATCGCAGCTGCCGGCAGAAGCGCAGAGCCTCGGGGGACCTGTCTGATCCCGCTTCCGCGCTTCTGTTTGTTCCGGCTCTAAAAAGCTGCACTTCTGCCGCGGCTTTTCCCGCTAGTGTGACTGGGGCCAATGTGTCTAAATTTCAGGAAATGTGGAAATAGGTTCACTTCATGTGCCTGTTTCCATCAGTCAGAGCACTGAAACAGCTAGACATAAGAAGGGGAACCCAACTTTCCTATGTCAGTCACCACCACAACCAGTCCCTCAACTTAACCAAAGGAAAAGATTTGTGATGACTGTAGTATCTTACTGCAATTTCAACAGTTGCTTTAATGCATCTTTGCAACAGTTTGCAACACTGTGAGCCGGCAAGAGAAAAGCGGCTTCCCATTTAATCAAGTTTGTTATTATGACTTGAAGGAGCTTCTGAAGAGAGCTTGGCCACAAATTAAGCTGGACAAAACTGATTATGTATCTCTTTTAAGTATTTTGTCTGGGACAAGTGAAAGATTTTGGGAGGTTAAGTGCCAAAGCGATTATTGTTCTTCCACTCTCACAACCAGGGCTCTTTTTGTAGAAAAAGCCCAGCAGGAACTCATTAGCATAATAGGCCACACCCTGACAGCACCGCTCATTAGCACATTAGGCCACACCCTCATGTTACCAGAAGTGTGGTCATCCAGCCACACCCACCTTTCCCTTCTTATTCTGTTTACCTTGTTTGTTATCAAAACCCAGAGCTTTTTTTTTGCAGGAACTCCTTTGCATGTTAGGTCACACACCCCTAATGTAGCCAATCCTAATGAGTTTTTGCTGTTGGGTGTGGCCTATTATGCTAATGAGTTCCTGCTGGGTGTGGCCAACTTGGGAGCCAGCCGGAATTCTGTTCCTGTGCGTTCCTGCCCAAAAATAGCCCTGCAGTCACAACCTAATAATTAGTTATCTTCTACAGTAGCAGCCTATCCCAGCAGGCTTTCCTATTTTTACCATGACATTTTCTTGAACACAGCCATTGTCTTCTCTGTTTTGCAGACCCTGCCTCCGGGGCTTCCCTTGACTGGGCTTACGATGAGGGCATTAAGCATGCCTATGTCTTTGAGCTTAGGGACCATGGTCGATATGGCTTTATGCTCCCTGAATCAAAAATAAGGCCAACCTGCAAGGAGACGATGCTGGCAGTGAAATATATCGCCAGTCATATCCTCGCTTCTGCTCCATGACGATGTATTCACACACATCTCCTGAAGGAATTCTCTTTTCCTTTCCTGCCTTCTTTTCTTCTATGGTTAATTTTTGTCCACTGCTTTCTGACTATTTTGTTGAGGCTTGATTATCTTCTGCAGAAACCAGATGTCTTCAGTGCACTGTATGCCACTCAAACCCACTCAGGCATCTTGGTTCTCCTTGAAGCTGCACATTGATAAACATACGTAGAGGGGGTTGATTATTAGGGAAGCATAAATCAGCAATTTGTTGAGTTGCTCTGGAATGCAGGTTGGTTGATTTGAGTCTTTGGGTATAATGAGAACTTGTGTGGACTGTATCCCATCCAGTCCGCAATATCATCTGCTTACCTAGAAAGAGGCATAGTTGAGTATATGGCCATGTATAATGCATACAGTCCATGATCATGCAAAAATGGCTCTTGGAGTGAGTCACAAGGAATATCCCAACACCCACTAATGACCATTGCCAGAGGAGGACAAGGCAGAAGCACTCTGATGGGTGTCAGGAGGCAGCAGCATTAACATTTTAAAGGAGAAAAGAGATATCCTTTAAAATATTTTTTGTTTCCTTTAAAATGCTAATAATAAAACCAGGAATCCAGTTTGTATTGGGTTAAATGTAAAAAAAATCATTTGACTTGGAAGCTCAGAAGCTTTACGCAGTATCCCCGAGAGCCAGTTTGGTGTAGTGGTTAAGTGTGTGGACTCTGATCTGGGAGAACCGGGTTTGATTCCCCACTCCTCCACTTGCACCTGCTGATGTGACCTTGGCTCAGTCACAAGCTCTGGCACAGCTGTCCTTGAAAAAGAGCAGTTTATGTCACTCAGCCCCCCCCCCACCTCACAGGGTGTCTGTTGTGGGGAGGGGAAGGGAAAGGAGTTTGTAAACCACTCTGAGACTCCAAGTGAAGGGCGGGGTATAAATCCAGTCTCCTCCTCCTCCTCTTCCTCTACATTTCCTGGTTAAGGGGAAATGTTGTTCAGACAAATTACAAAGATTATCTGAATCCAGTGGTAACAAGAGAAAGAAATTTTACTTACAAAAACAGAAGCTCATCTTACATGACATATTCATGTAGGTATATTTAACTTGTGGCGAACAGATTAACTTCAAAAAGGTTAATTTGCTACAGTTCCAGGCCTGGGTAAGAGAGAGAAGAAGAGAGGTCCTATAAAAGATGAATGAGTAGGCAAGCAATGGACAAAGAGGCTCAACATCTAACCAATGAGAGAGGGGGCCAACTGCACCTGAGTGAGAGAATTCTCTTAACCCTTTCCCTCCCAGATCCTCTTGCATGCAGAGTTACAACATCCAACAGCTTTTACTATCAAGTAGGAGTTGAAGGGTTGAACCAACTCTTTTCCTCACTGCACTATCCTAAGGCAAATTGAGGTGGCACAAGCTTCTAATTTGCATTTTATGGATGGAAGAAGAGATGTGTGATCTTTGTCTCACCTGTTTGTGCCCTAAGTTAGACCCTTTTCACGCACATATGAACCACATGTGAACTACTTTATTGTGATGTGAGGTACAGCAGCTGTGGTGTGTGTGTGTGTATCTATGAGTGAATATTGAAAACATATGGATGGAGCTGATTGTGTGGATTGTGTGGGTGGCTTTTTCACTAAGCTGACGCCCTCTCACCTAGCAAAGTATTGATTCAGTAGGAGAGACTCAATTAGCCCTCCCAACATGAACAGGACATTTTCAAATGTAAAGCAGCTGCATGGAAGTAGCTCCCACACAGCTTGGTACATGGGTGAAGAGAACGTTATCTTTGATTATGACCTAAATGGATAGCTTTCTTCTCTGATTCTGATTGTAAACATTCTGAGTCCAGCTCTTACAGACCTGTCCCAAATGATACTGGATCCAATTCTTGACAACATAATTTTTGTTATCAGCAGTCTGTTGTAATTGATTTAACACCTGGCCAAGTTGTATACTTAGTGCAACACCGCAGTCCACTTTCAGAAGCTTTGCGTAAGAATTATTTTGTATGATCCTCATTCATGATCCCCTAAAAGTTGTTCAAAGTAGATCAAAATTAGTGTAACTGGAAGAAATGCACTCAATTGTACTAAAAACAAATCTATGGGTCCTCTTTCTATTGACCCAAAATAATTAACAGAAATAACTACTGGTGAAAGTCCCTTGCAACTTTGTTTTTGGATGTGGCTATGCTTTCCCAGCTGTCCCTCGGAAACATGTTTATATGGTTGCCATTTAACTGAGTAGCAAAAGTAACTCTGACATCTAACACTGATTACTAGGCAATGCATCATTTAATAAAATCTGAGCATCAACCTAAAGACTTTTTTCTGAAATGTTCTAAACAGAACAATCCCACGATGAACAAATACTTTGCTCTACTAGTTTAAAAGTATCTTTTCAACCATGGTAGAAAATAGCACTGATGTTAGTTTGAAGTTATAATTGCTTCAAAAATTGGTCTGCATGCATTTGTACAGCTTGAGTCAAAATTACTGTCAAAACATCACAAGGCAAGGATATCCCACCCAGGCATCCAGAAGCCTATGCACACCCATTGCAGTCCAGCTGTGTTTTCATAATCCAAACCATATTCCAACATGAGAGCTCTACTTTATGTTGCATAATAATTAAGAATCTGAACTACAAGTTGTGGAAATCTCTGGCTCGTACCATAGCTCAGCTATGAACACAGTTTGTGGCCTTAGGCAATCCTCCAATTCCACAATATGGAAATAGTATTAGTGGGATACTGTGCAGGAGAACTGTAAAGATTACTGAGATAGTGCTTACGAGGTAGCATTAAATCAAGAATTTTGGCAGATGCAGATTGTTACAATGCTTCAAACATAAAACTTACAGCTTCTGGAATTCTGCCTTCTACATAGTTATTAAAGATACAGTTCAGTTCATACACAAATGAGCTAGGTCTTCTATTGGTTCCAGTCAATCTACTTACTTGTGGCATAGCACGGAAGCTGAAGAAAAGGAAGCTGCCATAAAGATATGTTGTTCCCAAAGTCAATATTAACTAAAATATTTGGATAAATTCTCCTGCTAGAACTCCTGGAGGATGTGAGCAGGGCTTTTTGTTTTAAGAGGTGCCAGAACTCTCAAGAGGGAAATGGAAGTTTTCTATCTGTATACTAAAAACTCGTGAAGTTTTAAACATTTTTAAAAGAATTGTGTCAAAGAGGTTCCGGAACTCTGTTTTGGTGCGTTCCCCCAGAAAAAAAAGCTCTGGATGTGAGAAAGCACATCTTAAAAAGTGAAACTGCAAGAAGGTATCTCAAGAATGTTTGATTATGTCTTGTAGATACTGGGCAATTACAACACAAAATAGGCCAACCAGAGAGAATGACTTTGGTGGATACAGACTATTTACCCTGTTCTTTTTGTAACTTACCACACTGCGCCTGTAATCTTGTAGAAAGACCTCAGACTTCCTGCCAAGTGATGCATAAGAGGCTATTACTATTCTGCTTCCTAGGTTTCTGATCAGGAATGGAAGTTTGTCCTCACCTTTTGGTAGGATAATACTGGCCAGCGGCTTGCCAACTGGTTAATAGTCATCTGAATTCTCTGAGTTCTCACAGCTGTTTAAGGATCTGCAATGTATGTGTGTATAGAATGTTACTTAAGTATTCTCTGGTTGCCATAGCACCCACTTAGATATCTACTGCTGTAAATTAAAATGGCTCTTTACCCCCTCCTGGACTGACATAAGATGATCCAGAACATTCAAAAGTGATAGAATGATTTCCTAATGGGATTCCATACATTTCAGACTATGATGAGGAAGGCTGAGAATGTAGAATGAGGGTTCTAAGGAAACACAGTTACTCTCATTGTCGCCTGGCTTTTTGAGAGAATGTTTCATCTTCATTGTTTGTGAAGATACTTAAGGAGAAACAAGAGAAAAGAGAGTCAAGAGACATCTGTTCATACCCACATCTCCCACAGGATGTTTAGCTGAAAAGGTGGAACCCATGCCTAATGACTGAAGACAACCAACAGAAACTGAGAAGAAAATCAAGACTGTGGCATTTTCAAGGGACTTTGACAGTATCAGTCATCCTTGTTCTCGTAAGATGCATTCATACATATCCCATAGCACAACAGAGGTAAATCAGCCCAATACTTGATCCATGTTTAGTTGATAAAACCTTTTGATTGACTAACAAAGGTGTTCCTGATCAGGTACCAAAAGTTAAAATTGTTAGAAGAAAAAACTGTTTATAATACAAGAGTTTATAAAGACTGTGAAGTGGTAGGCATCTTAGAAGAGGCACTCTCTTCTCTCACACACATGTGGGGAATGCCTCTTCTAAGAGCCAAGAGATGGGGGGGGGGGGTTATTCACAACGACTTTATTCATACATAGCTTAATGCAGGTTTATTGATTCACTCACATAAAACAATTTATAATTTTTATTAATGTTAACAATTTCAATACAATACAGTACAATAGCACTGACATCTGATAAACATTCATAAAAATAACTGACCGTAACCATAACACACCTAAGAGAAATACTTGGAGTGAGGGAAAGGTAAACACCCTGTCTCCCAGTCTTTCTTGCTGGGGCACCTGCTTGGTTCTCTGACAGGTCTCCTCTAGACTCCTCTAGACAGGCAGTTCTGCCCACTGAATGGGAGACATAGAGTTGGTTTATTTGCCACAAATGACCATTTGTCTAGGGTTGCCAGGTCTTACCTGGCTGCCAGTGGGGATGCTCCTGCCCGGTTCCGGGATCCTCTGGTGCGCACGCGAAGCAAGTGTGCTGTGATGATAGCACCCGGAAGTGATGTCACTGTGCCAGGCATGTCATGCAGGGGACACTCTAGCATTTGGGGGGAAACTCTATGGTCACCATATAGTTTTAACCCAAATGCTAGAACGTCCCCCGCATGACATGCGCAGGATGATGACTTCACCTCCGGGTGACGTCATCACACCAGGCACATAGGGCACACCAGGGCTCTTCAGGGTGGGGCTGCCCTCACTGGCCAACTGGCCGTCAGTGGATTGGGGGCCCTGAAAGCAGGAGAACCCCCACCCCCATCGGGGGGACAGCAACCCTACATTTGTCTAGTGAGTGTGGTTTAAAGGAGCAATTTCTGGAAGACATTCCACCTCATGGTGGAATGCAAAGCTACATATGGTGACTAAAATCAAATCTACTCCAAAATGATTGCATAACTTGTTGCTAGGGACTGAAAAAGAACTCTTTATAACCTTACCAAAGCATGTCTTAACAGTCCTTGAAGGTAATAACCACATTACAGAAGATTTTTTAAAAAATGTCTGTAAGCTATTCTGTTTTGTAAGCTATTCTGTATTGAAAAGTGGGAACCTACAAGGACATGTGAGGTGAATTCTCCCCTTTCAACAGGCTATTTCCTCTTTCTCTTTCTTGAAAGGCCCCACAGCCTCTCCTGCTTTCCTGGCTCCTCTCCATATCCACTAGCAACTTACCTTTATCTTCTTCCCATCTTCAGTTTTCTGCCATACCCTACCCCTGGCACTCTCTGCCAAGGGAAACTGCCCAGTTGCACAGTGCCAGTTGCCAAGTTGGGCCCAGTTGCTTAAGTGGGGAACCTGCGAGGGATTGCAAATGGTACCTATTTTCCCATATTAACTTCTCCACACTATTTCCTCTTTCCCTCCAC